GCGGCAGCACAGCGGGCACAGCCGCCCGGTCTGCACCGTCCTCTAGTGGCCACCGGCCCCGGTTCACTGGTCCCAGGGCAGGGAGAGCGGGCAGAGCCCCCGGGCAGCCCCGGGGCAGAGCTGCCCGCAGCCCCCTCCTCCATCGCACTGTCCCCTCTTCTCCTCCACCTCCCCATCAAGGTAAGCCTGGGACTGTCATCCTTGCCAGAACGACCGCTGCAGCTGCCACACTAATCACCAGCAAGGCTGATCCTGCTCGGGATCTGCAGTTCTTGGCCATCAAGACTCTGTTTCAAATACCACAGCACGTGGTATCTCCCATCTCCAGCCGACATGACTAAAATGTAAATCCTCACTCAGTCTGCAGGAAACTGGTGTAGGCAAAGGGATGTGATTCATTTGCTTTGTATCTCAGAGCCCAACACTCTTTTTCCAAGAGCAACCCAAGAATGCACTTTGTCACTCAGCTAAATATTTGATAAAAGTTAAGCACACCCACCTGTGATTGATGCTTCTCCTCCCACACTCCAGCCTCAATCCGGGTAACTCGTGGCATTATTGAAGCATCAGTTATTTTTAGCACAAGCACAGCTCCATTAGCAGGCCTGCAGTCTGCTCCTTTTGACAAGGCTCACTCTGTGTGTTTATCAACAAAACAGGGATAAACAGCAGGACACAGAGTCTGCAGTTCTTAACTCTGTTAGGACAGAGCTGACGTTCACACCTCTGTGTGCACCATCAGCCAGAGCATCCTGTCTGCTGGGGTTTCTCTCTCTGGAAGAGGAAGTCTGGCACTGCAGCCCCTGAGGAACTCGTGGCCACTGCTGGCAGATACCCCCAGCTATGAAACACGGGGTGAGCTCCCTGGGTTCCACTGGGTGCTCGTGCCTGACAGAGAATGCTCCAGGTACCCAAGGAAAGTGGTCAGAGAGTTCAGGGTTGCTGCTGAGCGGGTGATGCTCTCACCTAACAGCTCAAATTCTGCTCCTCTCATACATACAGGATGGTGGCTTGGAAAATTACAGGAGGTCAAGACAGCTCTCTCTGAAACTGGCCACACACATTGCAGGTACCTTCCACGAGCTCTGAAGAGAAGTTTCCCTCTGTTTTTATCTCTTTTGGCTCTATCTACACAGCTCCAGAACTGCCTTTTTAGAGATGCAAGCATGGCCCAGGGAAAGGGCAAAGAAACTGCAGAAAAGCAATTCTTTTTATTAACAGGTCTCAAACTTCCTTCATAAACTACACAAAGATAGACTCTTGGCTTATTAATAGCGGTAAATCTCCAAGTCCAATAGGCTTCAGTTAATGAATATTGATTATGATAGCGCTGGAAAAGGCTGGTGTCAGTTGAACTGAGATCCTGTAGCCCTCTTTGCCTGAGCTGGGCTGTAAATTAACTGAGAGCTTGTTTGTTTTTCAAAATTAGGCAGTGGAAAACACAGGGGTTATGGCTGCACTGTAGCTTTCACTACCTCAGGGCTGTGAAACCACCTTGATGCACCTGGTCAGACCGGCTAAGCATTTTTTACTGTTTATTTAAGCACCTGGGAACCTGTGGACCTGATCCCTTTGGAGCCAAGACAGGATCCTGTACACTGAGAGGAGCTTACATGCAATCCAGAGGAGCAGGAATGGACTCCAAGGTGGTTAAAACAACAGGCAGGGGATGTGTGTCAAGTAGCTTCTAACACTCCCTTGAGACACCTGAATGTGTGGGGTGAAAAGTGAGTTATTTTACACACACAAGTCTCATTTCTTGGAGGAACACTGCCAGCCTGCAGCCAAGTGTACTTATGTTCCACTGTGCTGGAAGAGGACAGGTACAGAGCAGAGATCCTTTCACTTGAGGCAAGCAAATCTGCTTTTACTCAAGCAGACCTGCTGGTGTTTGTACCTTCCCACCAATTTACAGATGTAAATTTACACTTCCCTTTATCCCCCAGTGAGCATCTTAAAAGTAACAATCTAAGCTGATTAACACAAACACCACAGTCACCTCAACCTTTGACTGCCCAGATAAATCTCATCATGCTCTCAATGAGCAGCTCTATCTTTTCCAACCAGTCTGGGATGACTTTGAATGGCCTTTAAATGAATGGAAGCTTGGGAAAATAAACCAAGGGCAGTCCAAAGTCCACTGCAATAGAGACCTTATCACTATCCTCTGGTGGGGGACCGAGGCAGTGATGGGTGGGGAGGCTGGGGGGCTATGTCAACGTTTTCATAAAACTATCTTTTATGCTCACTGAAATAACCCAACAGCAACAAACCCCAGAACAGCCCTCTCCCTCCTCCCCACATCTGATAAAAATCAAATAATAACAGGAGTGACTTATGCACTCTCTGCCTGGTACTTCTATCTGGCCTTCCAGTTAATACACCCCATGATTAAAGCATCTATAATCTACAGTCTGTGGAGACCTGTAGAGCAGGAGCAGCAGCAGGTGTGCAGCCTGATAAGGGCTGTTCACTCTGTGCAGATGAAACTTTTAATATTTATAACTGCTGATTTTTTTCCTGATGCCTCCCTATTGAGGGGAAAGGGGTGAAAGTTTAAAGATAAAAGCTTGATGAAAGACCCGGTGGAATGTTTTTCCAAGGACAGGCAGGGGCTTAAAGCTATCTCCACCAAAGAGCTGGTTTAAGAATGCTGCTCAGGCAAGTGCAGCATCAGAGATGGGGGATGAAGTCTCTGGAAGACCTTCAAGGCTTGTCTAAAGTGCACCCAGGCTTCAAGCTGTAAGCTCCTCTGAGCTGTCTGGTTTGCTTGTCTGCACCAAGCACAGTGGGACTGTGCTGGGACTGCCAACCATCACCACAAAAATAATTAAGTCACTCCAGGTCAGCTGCACATGCTTCAAGTAAAGTGCTAAGAGCATTTCCAGCTCAGCACTGGAATATGCTGAGATCTGAAAACACACAGCGTCAGCCCAACCCTCTGTCTCAGCTGCTGTGGGCAGCACATGGGGCACTGGGAACGAACTGGAAAACATAAATTGCATCCTGCTCCAATCAATCACCATCTGCAGTGTGGTACTCAGGATCCATGGCTGGTAAAACACTGAGGATGCTGTTGCCTTTGCAGCTTTCCTCCTGGGAAAGCATCCATTTCCAGTGGCACCCCTTCTCCGGGTGTATGGATATTTTAGTCTGTGGTGATTTGGTGTCAGGGACACAAGGCTCTGCCCATGGGACAGCAGCAGGCCACATCAGAGGGATGCTGCTTTCCTGTACTCCCAACCAATTCAATCTGCCCCAGATGTAGGGTATCCCTGTTTGGTGCCAGGAGACCCCAGGATGACAGGCAGGCCCCCAGCTCACTCAGCCCTCTGGATACCTTGCTGACAGACTCTGCTTACCCTCTGTCCAGATTTAAGAACCCAACCAAACTCCCTCATTTTCAGCACCATGAGAGCCCAGACTTGCCCCATGCCCAAATGGTGTAATATTTGTGCATTCAAACCCCAACACTCCTGAGTGTATTATGACAGATATGAATGATACAGCCCACCAGTAACTACAGACAGATATACCTGGGCTAACCTGAGTAGAATCAAAATATGCAGAGAAAGGTATTCATTCATTTAAATATATTCATTTATTTCATCTGAAAGATGATACACTGACATACTTCTTTCAAAGCAAGCCATGTGGTCCTCATACCTATAGCAGAGCCCTTCAAAATGTTTACCAAACCCATACATACAACACACCCTGACAGAGGGAGATACATCTTAGAGCTGAAATACATGGCTTGGCTGAACCTGAACTGAGGTCTCTCAAGTTGAAAGCTACATCTCAATCATTCTGCCTTCCTACCTCAGATCCCAAAAGTCAAAGAAAAAAGAAAGGCAGGCTGGCCAGGGAGGAGGCAGGGTTGCCTTTTCGCCAGAGAACAAAGAGTGGGACTTCTAAAAAAAAAAAGAGAAAAAAATTCAATCCTCAAAAACACCCCACCTGAATTCAAAAGCACCAGAAAGAAAAAAAAAAAAGAAGAGGTAGAGCTCTGCAGTCTAAGGACACATTCCACTGTTTGGAAAGCATGAGGAAAACTGGCTGAAGAAAATGTGACACTTCAGTGTCTCCAAGACAGCTGCAGTTTTCCTTGACTTAAACAGAGTTCTCTGCCAGAAATTCGATTTCTTCGCCTCCACTTTCTTGACTCCTCCACAAAATATGATTTCAAGTTATACAAGCAAAGTTAAAATCTAAAGAGGTAAAATTAAGTTGCTGAAAACGAGTTTAAAAAAACAGTCCTGACTTTGTTAATAAGGAGTTTATCTCAAACTTAAAACCTGGGGGGGGGGGGGAGAAATCCTATCAGATGGAATTTCTGTGTGAAATCTGGAAGTATATGAAAAATCCAAATTAACAAAAGTACCCAGTGTCAGTGGACTAGTTAAAACTGGATACACACTGGCCAGAGCTCCTACAACACATGCAGGCTGCAAGCAAAACCACACCAAGCTGCTTATCATTCTGAAGCAAAACTCAAGGATTAGCCTCCCACTGCACATCAGCTGGCCTCCCTGGCTACAGCAGTCACCAGGATTATGCTCATTTCCAAAGCTCACGAGCATTTGGAATTAATCACAACCTTAGAGCATGAGATGGATGTACATGCAGGAACACCAGCACCACTCCACAGACGGAATTACTGAGCATCATCTGAGTTGTTTGACAAAGCAGAGCTTTCAGTGCCTCGAACATGGGAGTAGTAAGACAAGTGCAAGGAAGCTAAACACCCCTCTGAAGACTTGAGCTTAAAAATGCATATAAAAATATAATCAGAATATCATCAGGTGTTTACAGCTATGTGCTGAAGTCACTTGCTACAAACAGGTTGTCAGCTCTAGTATAAAAGCAACACATCTGAAAAATAAGAGTAGTCAGAGACTGCAGTTCCTCTCAGTGCCATGGAACAGCAGTGAGATGTCTGTCCATGCAGGCACCAGGCACAGCCAGCACCAGCAGCTCTGGGGGAAGGGCTGGAACCCCAGCCATGAACCAGTCCAGAAAAGCTTGCTCCCAGAAAAAATCCCTCCCAAATACCAAGTGGCAGCAGTTTGCAAGCGTGAGAAACGCAGGGAAGTCCATCCAGGGGTAGTGGCAAAGGTCACCGAGGAAGGCTGCACCTCTGCCAAGCAGTCCAGCTCCATCACAGGGAAGGATTGCAGAGCACATGGGAGCTCTGTGAGTGTCCCTAAGATCAGGGAGTTGCACAGGTGTGTTTGTAAGAGATGGCATCAATCTAAACTGAAGTGCTCTGCAAAAATATCATTTTTCTTCCCAAACAAACCTCGTACTTGCTCAAACTCCAGGGGCACATCGGTAGCCTTTTTCTTTACTTCTTTATCAAAAAGCTACAAAATAAAAAATAGAAAATGTTGTCAAAACTCAGTATAAGCTCTTCACCCTGATACCACTGTTCACTCTCACCTCTTAAAAGATCCAGCAAATAGGGCTTTTTAAAAAAGCCAGCCCTGTCACCACTGCTGCTCATGCTCTGTTATTTAGCACACATTTTCCTGGTTTTCCCTGGTTCTGGGTAACCAAAAGTCAGTTTAGCTCCCTCCCAGCAGCAAGGCAGATGAACAGGACATGGCTACTGTATCCAGAATCTCCTTCCACCTGGTTCCAGTCATTCCCAGAGGCACAGCAACATTACCTCATAACCTGAGAGCTCCAGGAGCCCTGATATGTCATCCTCCATCTCAGACAGTGACTGATTCAGGACAGCAGCTGCTTTGGCCACATCTGGGTGATAATGGTTCTGGAGAGACTGAAAAAGCAAGACAAATAGGAGATGGTCTATTAAGTACAGGGTAACACACATCCATCTGGAGTCCCACACAGGTGTCTGGCCCTTTGCTGGTCAGAGCTTAGTGAACATCCAACTGTGGCAGAGGCAAGTTCACTGTACTGTGCTACTACAGAGCTTCAAGAAATCCTGATTTCAGGCATCTTTCAAACACGTAGAAGGTCCCTCTCCCCTCCAAAGCAAATGAAAAGCCTGGTACATTTGCAGCTATTTAGACTGTTTGAGCTGTTAGCTGCCCACTTTTCAGCTGCATGGTCAGATGTGTGCTCACAAGCCACCTACTAAATAGCATGTACAACTTCTCCAGGGTATGGAATCATTTGCTAGGACAGAAAACGATGCAGACCAAAAGATCAGCCAGGAACTCAACTCATTTGCAGGACACATGTCAGTACGTTCTTTTGAGTGGAGCTGCCCACTGCCAACGTGTGTCAAGGAAGCAGCAGGGGTGGAAGAGACCCATACCAGATGCAGATGTTCATTTTTAGATGACATACCTGAATCTCCCAGAGGGAGCTCTCCAAAGCTCTGCTTTCAGATGGCTCCTCCTCCTCCATAATATATGGATCTTCTGACATATCTAAGAAAACAGGAGATACAGAGCTGATATATCCTGTGTGATGTGCACAAACCCAAAGGGAACACAAGAGGCCCAGAGCAGTGCTGCAGTCAGGATTGCTCTTTCCCAAGACATTTATTGTTCAGGAACAAGCTGGCACATTCCAACATGACCTGAGTTACCCCGGGCAGCACTACAGAACCATGTTACTTTTAGAGAGCATGGGGGGCATTTGTAATAGTCTTGAAATCACAGCAGCAGCCTGCTGACTTTCCCCAAACTCAAGGGATAGAGGGATCCTTCCAAACCTCTAAACTGGGATCTCCCTTCTTCCTCTACAGGAATCCTGCTCTTTATGCTGTCTAAAGGCATGACACAACACTCCCCTCTTACCTGCTGGCCCACCAGGTCTGTGCACCAGCACTCTGCAGGCGGGGTGTCTCCGGAAGAGGTTGCAGATGAAGGGAATGATCATGAGGAGGGACTCGGGAGGAGCCGTGAGGGCCAGCCGGGAGAGCCGCTTTATGAACGCTGCCACCAGGTACGCTGGCAAGTGACTGTGGGAGAACAAGCAGAGGGGAGCAGCTTGGTAAAGTCCTGGCAAGGGAAACAGCAGCTTCACCCCCCTCAAAACAGCGTGGCAGGGTAAAGATCAGTGAGGCTCTTCGGATTTTTTGGGCTATGGAGTAGCCCAAAATGGTTTCAAGCGGCAATACAGGGTCTTGTGCGCTCTCTGGAACAAATCTGGGGGCACTTACACTCAGTGCACGAATAACCTCAAATCACTCAGACTCTGTCCAGAACCATGGCACCACTCCAGGCACTGGCCAAGCACAGCTCCTGTACACAGCCATTCACATGGCAAACTTTATTCAGTCCTTTTATAAACTTTTGAGTGCTTGGCCAGGCAACCTTAATTATATTCTTCTAATGTCATTTTGCTGATTTAATTAATGCACAGACCACGGTGTTAAATTTATGTAATATTTCCAGGACTACAGCAAGCACTGCAGCTGCTAATGGGAACATAAAGCTGCTGTAATGTAAATGTGCAGGATAATTCTTTTTTTTTTTAATGGTAAAAATGCAAATTTCTAACAGCAATCAGCTCATCTAGGCGCCTTCTTCAGGTCAGAAGAACTGGGATGAAAGACGACAATTTTCAGCCACTCAGCCTTCAGCTCAATGGCTCACTACACAAGCAAAGCCACCCCACAGTTCTTGTCACTCTCTCCAAAGCACACCATGAATACAAGGGGTTGGATACTAAGTGCCTAGTGCTGAACTGTAAAGTGTTACTCTTGGTTTATTTTATAACAGATGATGGCAACTATATGACCAGCTGCTTATCTAGTTTCTTCCCTGTGTACAATGAACTGACAGCATCAAGACAGACTGTCAAACACTTTACATCTCAGTGTTCTGTGTCTGCAAAAGGCCATCAATTTATGAACAGCTTTATAATCTATAAAAAGCCTGTAAATTTTACTTTTCCATATTTGCAAAGACAAGACAGAGAATTCATCATTTTCAGCCATAGTGGAACACAGATCAAAATAAATCCATAAGCACTTGTAGCTCAAACTCTGGTAACTAACTGCAATTTTTCCTTTCTGAAACTCTATGGCTGCATGGCAAATCTCCAGAAATAGCACATGAAAAATTACACAACGCTACAATAACACTCTTGGATTCAGTTTTCTTGGTAAAAATGAACCTGATCCAGTAGGCACATTGAATACATTATATCCAGACATGTGGGGGACTGCTCAGAAACAGACTCTGGCCAACAGAAAAGCTGGAGGAAAATATGTGAGCAAACATAATGAAGATGTTACTTACGATGAAGACAAAAACAGATCAGTCAGATGGAAGAAGCGAGCTCGGTACTTCACGTGATATATGGAAGGGTCTAACAGACTGTACAGCTTTTTGTAAAAGTCAGGATACTCCCTGTTAAAAAACAGGCAAATACAACATCCATTAGTGGTGCACAGGGGGACTGCACCGTGTTTAAAGGTTTCTGTGCTTTCATTAATGAAAGACTACTCCAGATCACTGTTGTGCTCTGTTTAGCTCTCTTAGGTTTCTCTCTACAGTCCCCTGAAAACAAGCTGTAAGGTGAATTTATGGTTCTTGCAGTGCCCAGCCATTTTTGGGCTGTGAAGCCATGTCCACTGACTGCAAATGGTACAGGATCCAGTGAAAGGGACACCAAAGATACGGCTTCACTAAGTAATCAAATCAATGGAAATTGATTTTACAGTGCTGAGCAACCACAGTCTGCAGAAGAGGATATTTAGGCTCAGTTGTAAAAGGAGTCAAGACTATCAAAAGAGCTCAGCATCCAAACAGCTGAGCCTCTTGGGCAGAGTTTGGCTTTCTCACTGGGGAATTTCTAAGCCTGAAGGTGTGGTGAATCCATTTCAGTCCCTCTTACATAAAGATATAAATGCAAACCCCCATGTTCCTTTAAACAGTATGCTCTTTTTACTTACAAATTATGCTGATGAATCAGAATAAACAATCCATTTAGGGCTAGAAGACTGATTGCTCCACCTGTAAAGGAAGCAGGCAGGAATCAACACAATAAAAGCAATTAGAAAAAAAATCAGCTTCCAATCGTTTGTATAATAAAACCTTCCCAGAAGGAACACAAAGCTGAGTACCTGAAATTAGAGCCAGCGTGATGGCTGAAAGGTGAAACAATTTCATCTACAACCTTCCAGAGGCTCCCAAGTTTCTTACAGAGATTAAGCTGTAGTTTAGGAGAAAAATCTCCGAATGACTGAGACACAAAAATGTGTTCCTCTAAATCCCAAGCAAAGCCACACTGGGGAGGCAGAGGTCTCCTCAGAGAGGACATTTCTATAGGAATCTGTGCATCTTGTGTCTGGATGCAGCCCAGGTATCAGCAGTGCTGGCTGAACTCTATATTTAAAATAAATCAATTCAGTATTCTACTATTTCCAAAGTCTTAAATAAAATTTTCTTTATGCATAAGGGGCAACAACACTGACAAACACAGGTAAAATCATCTCACTTTCAGGGACAATGGAGTTCACCCTAATTCCTTTGCTACATCCCAGCCAAAAGCACATCTATTCTATCCTCTAGGTCGTGGTGCTGCATCCAGCAGAGTTTCCAAATCCATATGTCCCCTGCTGCAGGTATGTATGACAAAGGATAAAAGCCTGTTGTCACTCACCTATGCCATAGGCCACTGTCAGGAAGTCCATCATGAGAGTAGGTTCGTTCATGTAAGGCAGGACAGAGTCGTGCAGAATGACAAGAACCTTCTTGTAAAGGCCAGTGGGCAGCTGTGAAGGATGAAACAACACAGTGACACAATCACTGCAGGGAGAACTGAGAGTAACAGCGACCTGTGGCTCAAGAAAGCAAGGTACAAGCAAAAGGGAACGTGCCAGGACAATACAGAACTGCTTCCAGCAGCAGTTCCCAAATGGGAGAGTTTACAAGTGACACCTGACAACCAAGTGCATTCAAAGAGGCAAGTGCTCACAATTAACAGTGTCATCACAGCTCAGAAGGGAAAGTCACCACAAAAAGGGCTGTGGAAGCTTCAGCTAGTGCAGAAAAGTTGTTACACTGCAAGTCACCCTTATAAGCAGACAAGTTTAAGGTGGGGAATAAAGGCTGGGAGTAAAGAGAAGAAATGAACCATATACGAGGTCAGGTTTCTTGGCAGAATGATCCAACAGAAATGGTCACTGGGCTGCTCCCATCTGACACTGAAAGCACACTGTGGTCCACCAGGAGCTCCATGCAAGGATGGCCACAATTGCTAAGGATCAGCAATCCTTTAATTAAAGAGTAATACAGATCAGTGGCAGAAGCAACACTCACCTTGTGCTTCAAAAAAGTGAGCCACATTTTCTGAAACACCTGCCTGTGTGCCTTAAAAGAGAATTGCAAACAGTGAGTAAAACATGCTGGTGTAGATAAAGCTCTATTTTAAATAGATACAATTCCAATTCTAAAGCACCAAATGAACAGTTACCTGCAGCTTCGACATTTTCAATTCCTCACGATTTTCTAAGGACAAAGAGAAGACAGATGTTGAACTTGAAATGGATGTTCAAAAAATTAAGATCTGCCTTTTTTTCCTTAGCCCTTTGATAACCTAAAAATTTGGGCTTATGTCCTTGTCTTGATACAAGGCCATGACAGACCCCTCTGTAGATTGAGGAATGTGGATTTTTGATACTGCTCAGAATCATGGTGATCACAGAACCAGACATTCTTCATTAACAAACTTTACACAACGAAAAACTTAAATGTGATTTTCCTTTTCACCCACAGTTCGTCGTGTTGAGCTTACTAACCTTGCTTCACCATAAACTTGACCATGTCAGACTCTTTGTTTGGCATGTTAATGGGTGAAATGAGGGAAAACACGTTCTGCTGGTAAAAGGGCAGCGGCCTCTGAGAAAAAAAGCAAACATATAAACATATCAACCACTAGTGTCTTCCTGCTTCAGGCAAAAAATATACAGTCCAGAGCCACCTCTCCAGTAACAATTTGTTACCTCTTTTGTCTTTTGCATGACTTGTCCAATATTGGCAGTGACTGCCTTCATGACAAAGTACCGAACGTCATCATACTCCATGTACTCTTGGAAGCGAGAGATCAGGAGTGAAGCATCCTCATTTACAGGAAGCAAACCATCAACAACCACCTAACAAAGGGTTTGTAAAGGAAAGCACCGTGTCAGTCTCTTGCAGCACTGGAGCAGAGAGAGAGCTGAGGTGGCTGAGGGCACATGAAGCCATCAGGTCACTGACAGGAGGAACTTTTCAGTTCTGCAGCTTACCTTAAGGAGGTCAAAAGGAAAAGTCAAAGTCCCCTTCCACTCTATTTTGATCAATGGATACTGTGCCTCTAACTCAACAAACTTCATGAGGGTGCAGAGTGACAATTCCTTTTAAAAAAACAACACACAAAACCCCCACTTCAGTGAGGACACCAGGGGTCAGACCCAAAGGAGGTAACTTCAAAAGGAGAAAGAATGAACTAGGATGTTGTTCCCCGAGAAAGCGGCATGCCCGCAGGTGAGCAGAGGTGAGCTGGAACACAAGTGATGTCCTACAGCCCTGCCTGCCCTCCCACACCGAAATATCGGGCGATAATCGCCGGGGACCCCCCGTGCCAGCAGCGGGCTCAGGACCCACCTTGACCTGGAAGGCGTCGTGCCCCATCAGCTCGCCCAGGCAGCCCACGCAGTCCTGGTAGCGGTGCCTCATCCATATCTTGTACTTGTCCTCGGCGCTGTACCGATCTGCGGGTGGGACAGACACGCCTGAGGCTCGGGCAGGGCCCGCCGGCCCGGACACCCCCTGGGCAGCGCCCGCCCGGGCTCACCGGCCAGAGCGGCGTCCTGGGCGGGCAGCGGCCCCACGAACAGCTCCCGGCGCTCCAGCAGCGCCCCGAACAGCCGGCTGCAGGTCCTGGCGGCGCTCACGATGTCCTCCTCCTCCTCCTGGGCCTGGGGAAGAACAGCGTGTCTGAGCCGCGGCCGCGCTCCCCTCACAGCCCCGCTCCCCCCGCTCCCTTCCCGTCCCGTCCCGCACCGCCAGCGGCTCCAGGATCTCGAAGACGCGGTGGCGTTGGCGGCGGCTGCCCAGCACGGCCTCCAGGCTGCGAGGCGAGCGCGGCGGCCCTCGCCATGCTGAGGGTGCCGGGCCGGGAGGAGGAGGAGGAGCCGCGGCCGCTCCGCCCGCAGGCGGGGCCGGGGCCGGCCCGTCCTCCGCCCGCGGGCCCCTCCGTGAGCGGGAAACACCCGAGCCCCCCCTCCCTCCCCCGGTACAGAAGGGCAGGGCGAGGCTGCGGTATAAAAATGTACACTTTATTACACCTTCAGGTAGGATACAGCACTATTCCTTATCATCCTACTGGGTCGAGTACAAATGCTCATCACTTTATGTACAGGTTGACTTTCCTAACACGCTCTCCCGGGAGAAAGACACATCGAAAAGGAAAAAGTAAAATTGAAAGAAAAAAAAAAAGGGGGGGAACAAAAAAAGGTGACTTTTATCTTCATCGACTGACCTAAACAAGAAACGATCGCTTCTTTAGACACAAAATCGGACCAGCACAACGATGCACCCAACAGCTGGAACTGTTCCCCCCCACCGCCCCCCCACGACGTTCATGCACATAATAAAAGCTAAACACTTAAAAGTAAAACTGGGGCTAACTAAGCAATAGTTTTGGATGAGCAAGGCTATACTGTACACAGTGTCACTATCCATTACCACTGCAATTGCTTTGCATTTTAAACTACTCCACTGCCAGCAATCCCAGCTCTGTGGCTCGCCAAGGAGTTCATGGCACCGGTGGTTCGGCAGGGTCAGGAGAATACTACTGCATGCAAAAACAGCTTTAAAAAAAACCAAATGCCCTTGTATTTGCAGACCTGAGGGTCCAAGAAAAAAAAAATGATGCAGGACAAAAGAGGTATAAAATAAAAAAAAAAAAAAATCAGGAACGCTGCCTGAGCCAATGTTTACATTCGCGATGTAAACATCCTAACATTCTTAGGATAGGCTGTACCTATCCTAACACAGAGGAGCTGGTGGGTATTCTTTCCTGTTTAAGCCACGTGGATTGCCAGGTACCAACACGTGTGGACATACAGAGGTAAAAACAAAAGATATGCTTTTCTTGCCCTTAAAATCAGGCTGCCCTCCTAAAAGAGTAAAAAGATCACAGAATGGAAAAAATAATTTTAAAATCATCTCAGAAAAGGAATGTTGTAATTTTGTCTGGATTTTACACATTGAGCAGTCTTCTTGCCAAAGTAAAGTAAATCCCTTCAAGCCACCAAGAGCTTTTTGATTCCTCACTCAGTGCTGTTTGCAAAGTGTTTTTCATTGTAAGCAAGAAAAGTAAAGAAACCCCCCACAGTTCTATGCAGCTTTTTGCTTCTTTTTTTCTCCGTAACAATAAGGCAAACTGATTTGGAGGAAGAGGCCACGCTCTGTTCCCATCCAAAATACCCACCTGAAGTTACATTCATCGTTAGCTTTAGTAAAAGAATAGTACAAAAGTTAGATCTTACTCTTTACACAGTTGAAGAATTAAGTCTTAGATTTAATTTCACTATTCTCCCTTCCCCCAGCCCCCCACCCCCCGAGCTGAAAGCCGAGTAAAAAGTACTGAACATTTAAACATGTTGCAAGAGCAGAATGAAGCTGAGAGATTAAATTTTATCAGTTGGAGATTTTCCATGACAGAAGTCCCATGAGAAACAGCTACATCTGTTTAGCTGTAGCCACTGAACAATTCTTTTACAAAAAAAAAAAAAAAAAAAACAAACAATGGGCTACACTTCAATACACAACTACTATCAACACAGTATTTACTCAATTCATGCCTAAAATATCCATTATCTTAAAGTGAAATATGAGAGTGAGCACACAGGTTGGGTGATTCAATAAACTGTACACAAAACTACTAACAAACATTTTAAAAGACTTACAAAAATGGAGAATGAAACTTTTTTTTTTCCTTTTTAATTACATGTACTTACAGTTTTTCACATTTACTGGCTAAACTTTGCAGGGAGCACTTCAAATCTGTGTTAGGTCTTTCAGAGGAATTTACCTCTGGAATACCACGCAGCTTTTGTACTGATGGAAAATACTGTGCTGTATCAGCCACACTTGGTTCTTTGTGTGGCTTTGCTGTGGATACTGAGCACACACTGAACTACAGCAAAGAGCTGCATATTCCCATGGGTAGGTGTGGTAAGTTAACACAGATGGATTTTACTGACATTTATGGCATATCACCATTTCACTTTGGAGAAGCCGGGCAGAATTTAGACCTAAGTAATGTTTGTCTGGTTTGAATGAGCACAGAGAACACAGGCAGAACACATCTTGTACAGAGTGACACCTTTGAGTGCTAAACAGCTGCTAATACACTGAAGTTATATGAGTTTCCATGTTTAAATGTTCACCAGCAAGAAACCTTCTGCTACAAAAAAAGAATAAAAATAAAGGTGGTTTGTGTTCATTTGGATGTTTGGAGTAGCTTCTCACTTGTTTCAGCAAACGAGAAATGCTGTTTTCCCTGTTATTGCATTATTTCAACTTGGTTTAGTAGGTGCCTTCAATCTGACAGTCGGCGTCCTCATCTGTACTTTCGCCTGCTGGTTCTGGGCCTCGGGTGTTGCTGGTGTCTGGGCTGGGTTCTGTACACCTGGAGCCTGAACCTGGGGAGATGCTGTTGTCACCACTTGCTGCTGGATCAGTTTCTGCTGGACGACCTGAGCAGTAGCAGTTGTTGCAGGGATCACCTGAACCTGCTGTTGACCTGCTGTCGTCTGAGAAAGTGTCACAGTTTGGGGCTGAGCCTGTACCTGGACATGAGGATGACACGGCAATTACAAAAGAATGGTTTGGCATTAAACTGAGCATTCATTACATTTCTGCTCTACAGAGGGAATCCTACTCATTTAGGTATTTTCTCTCTTAACTGACAGACATCTTAAACAAAGCAGGAAGGCTGGGAGGGACTCTGGGAACATAGGCTCTGTGGGATCACTGAGAAACACCATTCTGTCACATTTTCTAGAGCCTTATAAATCAGAACTAAGAGCCAACATGCCTGTAACTCAGACCTCTGCAGTGCAAATCCAATGACATGCCCTCAGATACATTCAGAAGACAGATGGAAGGTATAGAAACCCTACTGCACATACAGGAAAATTTCTGTAATGCAGAAGTGGAAGTGGAGGAACAGGGAAACGATCAGAGGGACAGACAGAGGACCAAAGAGGTTAAAATGCTGACTCTGCACCCATATTGTGACAATAAATAAAGCCACTGAGGCTTCCCACCAGTCCCAGCCATTACCCTTTCAGACTACAGCTGCCAGTCTCTATTCCCAATTTAGGGTAGAACAGTGTGAACTCCATCCAGAAATCTAATTTTTGTAACTCCAGAGCAAGAGAGAAAAAAAAAAATCAACATCTCCTTGTTCAGAGGACAAGGTAATGAAAACTGAGCAGCTTCAGCTGCCTTTGTCAGATGCAGATGCATAACAAAGTTACAAGGGCTTCTCCAGGAGAAAAATTACCTCTTGACTGATCCAAAAGGAATCCAGTGGGAAGCACTAAAAATGCAGTAAAAAGAATGCCACATACACATCAAGACCATAGTTTTAAAAGTACTTATCATGGCCTAATCCTACTGCCACTGATGGCACCGGTGTGTGTGGGAGGGAAACTATTTGTCTTTTTACCACGGACTCCCACAGTCCCAGAGTTATGCCAACATTGATGACTTTTGAAAATGATCTAGGAGCTCTTACTGACTACAAAGGACAACTCAACTTGTGTTGACTGATGAGGTTTCTATGCCCTGCTGTCTCCCTTGCCCTTGAAGCATTCACATCTGAGGTGATTATTAGTCAGCTTATACCACTTTATCATCATTTTAAGATAAACAGTCACAGATTTTATTCTGCACTAAAACACTGCAAAATGAACTGTGAGAGATTAAGAGCTGACTGGCTCAGAGTTTTGTGCACTGAAGGCAATAACTTCATCCACCATCCAAAGTTAAATCATGCCTGTCAATCAACTGCCTGTTGCCAACGATCTGGATGACATTGTTCTGAACAGTGTTAATTAAACTGCCTGGTAATTAGGGGAGGGGAAACCAAACCATCTGACCTTCTCTTGCCCTAGTCCCGTCTGTTACCAGACCACATTTGGAACAGCTACCACACTGTTCTGACTTTTACAAAGCACTTGGCACAGCTTTGTGAACTGGAACAAAACAACTTGTAACCTTCAATTTGTCCTAATTTTTGTAGAAAAGGCTCAGATGGTGCTCATTAGTTCAGTTATTTGCTATTTTGACTATACACCACCAGAAACCAATTTTTAAAAATTTTTTTCAAACTCTAAAAAACATTTTTTAAAATCTGTTTTTTGTCTTATCTACGAATAAGTGATGAACAAACATTGCACCACCTACCAAAGTTTGAGACTAGAGAATATACAGCAGCTGACTCAGTATTGAAGACTCATTTTTATAGAATGGCACTTGCTGTATGCTTTGAAAATACTGCCTATGCCACACATAAGGTGAAAAACACAAACATTCCAAATAAATGAGCTTTCAGTAGGATCACGTTTTAGTGCTATGTTTGACAAGTGCAAAACCCACCTGTTGGGAAACTGAAACCATCTGCTGAATGTTGGCAACAGTAGCCTGTTGCTGGACCACTTGTGGGAGTTTTGCAACCTGTAGTGACATGAAATAAAGAAAGACTGGGTCAAAATAAAAAACTATTAAAAGAACAAAACTGGCAAAACTGCTACCAAGTGAAAACCCTTCCAAAGTCCTGTTCATGATAAGTTGTAGCTTGGCATTTAGAGTAAGATTGAATGTTTGTAAAACATTTGAGATCATTGAATTGAAGAACTTAACTAGGGGAGGAAGAGGAAAAGCCATATTTTCTATGGTTTCCTCCTATCTATAAAATTGAAGGAAGCACATGAGTTCTAATGGGTTACACTATCTGGGATATACTTTTGAAAGAGCAAGGCTTCCAATTTCTAGCCCCCTTCTTTTTCTCCTTGGTTAGACTGATTCGGTTATGCAGAAAAGAAAATAAGTGAACTGTCACCTACACTTGGCTGCCAGAAACAG